TAAGAAATTCTCAGCAGCTGAACTGTTTGGAATCATAGAAGCCCATATAGCTTGAGATATAAGCTATCAGATCAAGGGCTGAACAAAGGGAGATATGTGTTGAAGGGAGTGGAAGGGGCTGCTGGAGGATGGTGAAGCAGGGAAATAGATGGGTCAAGACACGTGTGTCAAGGGCAGGGACAACACTGAAACTACTGGCGAATTCCACTATTGGGGAAATATCTTTCATCTGCTTTTTCCTGTAAAATGCTTGTCTGTCAGATACTTTTCTTTTTTTTTTTAGTTTAAATTTATTATTAATTTCAGTAAAAATTTACAGAGACTTTGGATTTCCATTCATTCATTGTTGCACTTTGTCAGATACTTTTCTAAATCTAACCAGTCAGATTAAGACAGTCTAGGAGGAAGGTCTGGCCATCCACTTCTGAAATAGCAGGCCTCTGAAAACCCTATGTACAATAGAACACATGTAGACTAACAGATAGGGCAACTGAGGCAGAGCTTTCAAGTATGGAAATACAAAGGAAGAGGAACAGTTGTAAGCAGACACTAGTGATTGGGACATGGAATGTGAGAACCATGAATGTAGAAAAATTAGATATTGTTAAGGAAGAAATGGAATGCATAAATATTGACATACTAGGTATTGCCAAGATGAGATGGACTGGCATGAGGCATTTTGAGTCAGATGATCATATGATCTAATACTCCAGAAATGAAAAGGTGAAGAAAAGTGGGGTTGCTTTTATAGATAAAAAAATGTCATTTCTACATATGTCTTGAAATACAATATTGTGAGCAACAGGATAATATCCATACACATACAAGGAAGTCCAGTGAATACCACTATCATTCAGATACATGCACCAAAGTTATACATTTGCCTTTAATTCATGTTCTTAGAAATTTAATATTTACCTGATTTTCCACTTCCTAAACAACATGCCTTTGTTAACTCTATGAATTTTGAGAGACAACGATAGTTGTAGAAAGGCTTCAGGTCTTTTGTTCATAGGGTCGCTCGCTATTAGTCATGCTCGACTCGATGGCAATCAACAACAACAACAACAACAACAACCTGTATATATAAAACTGGACAAGAATGTCATAGAAAAGGTAACTTGTAAACCAAGATCTAAAAATTTAATGGTACACAATGCTTACTTTCATCTAAGAAGTAAAATCTCTGGAATATATGGTGAGTACTCATGGGGTACTAGAAAAGAAATCCATGTGCGAAGTCCAAGGACATATACTATGACCAATTAACTGTGGCACATAATATCTCTTTTTGCTTACTGACAAGGGGCTGTGCTGCAATTCTAAAGACACACAGTTAGAATCCACGAACTGCTCTGTGGGAGAAGGATGGGCAATTTCTTCCTGCATTTCTGATTTGACAATAGACAACAACACTGTGATATAACGCCCGACCTCTCAGGAAGGTATGGGAGCAAAACATGCTTTGCTTAACTCCATTGCTTGAAGAGAGCAGATCATCCACATCAAAGCCAAAGGCTCAAAGAAATTGCAGCAATTATCATTCACCTTGGCCTCCTACGTACCTTGCAAAGACAAGGCTCCATGCAGGGGTCTTCATTCACACTGCCAACCAGACTGCACTCACAGTGGACACAGCTGGGATAACCCTTGTAGCCAAACTGGCAGCGGTCACACTTTTCTCCTGAGTAACCTTCTTTACATGGACACTGACCTGGCCTCTTCCCTACAAAGAAACAAAAGTCAGTAAACCATTTCTGTGAAGGGCCAGATAGCAAATACTTTAGGCTTTCAGGCCATAGTCTTTGCTATTATTACTTAGCAAAGTAACTGCTGCTCTCATGTAACCATAAGATTCATTGTCATTAAGTTGATTTCAACACACAGCAGTCCTCCATCCTTTCATGAGGCTGCAAATCTTAAAGAGAAAAGAATAGTCATCTTTAGCCTGTGGAGCCACTGGAGAATTTAAGGTGGCAGAGTTACTTGACCTTTTGGTTACCAGATCAACACACTATACAGATTATAGTTCACAAGGGCTCCCACGCAGCTAAAGACAACACCTAGAGTTGGCATAGCTCTGTTCCATTGGCTGCTTTGAAGGAGAAAGGTGGGCAATCTGTTCTTGCTAAGATTTATCGCCTTGGGAATTTAATAGAGGTCACTATGAGCAGCAATACATCGGTACATGTTCCAGAACAACTTTATTTACAATAACAGGCATTGTACCCAATTTGGCCCAAGGCTCACAGTTTGAAATCCCTAGTTTTAAAAAAGAAAATGTAAATTAAAAACACTAACCCTTATAGGACGGTAAAAAGTACATGTAAAATGGTAGAACAACTTTGACAAATATTTGGCAAAGTTGCCATACAACCCAGCAGTTCCACTCCCAGGTATATGCTAAAAAAAAAAAAAAATATGTCCACACAGACCTCTATACTTGAATGTTTATATGCATTCTTCAAAAGGGGAAACACTCACATATCTACTGGTGAGGGGCTAATGTGGTGTTATCTATTCAACAGACTAACAATAAAAAGGAGTGAGTTTGTGACTAATGTTATTATATGGATAAATCTTGAAAACAATGCTAAATAAAAGAAGTCAGTCACAAAAGACATCTGGTGTGTGGTTATATTTATATGAAATGTGAACATGTACAAATCAATGGAGACAGAAAGTAGATAATTAGGTAGGAATATGGGATGAAAAAATCAGGAATAACTGCTGATGAGCATAGGTACAATGAAATCTTCCTAATAGTCAATTGAAGTGATGGTGATAGCCACGCATATACTAAAAATAAAATTAAAAAACCCCTGAACTGTACAATTTAAAAGGGTTAAGGGGGGAGGTGGGGAAAAGAGAGGGGAAAGATCCGATGTGAAAAACAATGTATATCATTGCTCTAAATGCAGCTCTGGAAATTTCCAATTCCCCCTTTGGTCAGCTGCTCTGAGCTAGTTCCTCTACCTTATAAATAATTTCACTCTGCTGTTGAAATTAAATTGAAATTATTTAAAACAGTATAGGCATTGGATTCAGTTTAATATATATAAATTAGAATATAATATATACTTAAAATTATAGACACATATAAAATATTCATTTATTAAGATAAATCCAATCAGGGACAGTCATCATCATTATCATACTCATGCCATTGCCAACAGTCTTGACTGAATGTGTGATTTATCTTCCACTTTCTTAGTGGGCCCTCATTGTTGGCACATCTTTCCTGACTGTTTCATATCCATGTTAACTGTCACTGACTGAGAATTAAATGAGGGCCACAGAATCCCTTGAACAGATGAAACTTATTCAAGAGACTCCAACTACAAGGCCATTTTCCAGTTTTTTAGATAGGAAAATAATAACATTTCAAAAGTTCACTAGAGGATATTTTTGCTTTGTGAGATGGTGTACACAAAAGCCTTGTGTCTTCTAAGAGCAAATCCCAGTGATTGTTATTTACTATATTTCACTTATAGTTTAAACTGAGCCTGATCTTCTTTCATCAAATACTTAATTATCTCCTTGTATGTCATTTCATCACCCTAATGTTGCCAACTCCATACACTGTATCTCTCCAGTAATGGCAAATTATGCTTTATATTCATGATACTTTTCCTTGACATCATATTATCTATCCATGGTCTTCTATGTTTAGTGCCTGATGGCAAGCAGGAACTTTATCTTGTTCAAATATAGATTTGTGAGGCCCCAGAAAACTGTATAAAACATAGCATTCAAATACTTGACAAACATTGGTGGACAATAGCAACAATGAAATCAATTTTTATATTACCCATTTGCTATACAATGGCACTGTTGTGAAACCATGGAGTCAGAACCGACCCACAGCTGACCCTTCAGGGAGTTTTCAGAGGCAATAAATCACAAGGGAGGAGACTGCTCATCTTTCTCCCATAGTGTTGGGAGAAACCAACCCAACACCTTTGGGCTGGCAGTACAATTTCTTACTATCAAGTCACCAGAGCTCCCTACAAAGACAATAGTTCTCCCTAGATTCAAATCTTCCCTTCGATTTTACTTATCAACACAAAAGTGGATTCAGTCCTTACCATTGTGTATATCAGAAAGGAGATCATCCTTAATACAGACAGAACTGAGGGACCCATATGGGTCACACTCACAGGGAAGGCAAGGATTGTCTTCATAAGGAGAGACCTGAAAGGCAGAGGTTGTCCTGCATTATTTTACAAGAAATAGCATTAGCATCAGCACATTAGCAATGATATCAACAATATCATCAATGCCAAGGCATCTTGGGTTTTATTAGAGATGTGTTTATTACAATGAATTTGTGTACAGAGGGTATCAGAAGGGTAAGAACCTCTTAACTCAAAAAGTCTCAAACATCTCTTTGGTAGTGACAGCAGTTAATATCATTAGCAGAATGTCATCCTTTCTTGTTATTGCTGCTACCCAACCCCAACTCTGCCCCTCTACTATCTGTCTTATTTGAAGTATCACCGATAACCAATCATACTAGAAACTCTTACTTGATACAAAATGCAGACATATTCAGTTGTTAAATAGAAGCCAGAATGTTTGAGTCCGTCCAGAGTACCTGATCAGAGAAGTACAGCTTAAGGTTATAGCTATCAGTCATAACCAAAAATGGACAAACAGCCAAAGACAAATTACATGAGTGGAACTTTCTAGAACTTGAATCCTTGGGTTCATCAAAAAGACATCTCCAAAAAGAGCGAGAAGAGAAAGTACAGATTGGGGAAATATTTAACAATGATCTATCAAAGAACTAATCTCTTAAAGTTATAGAATGCATCAAAACCTAAGCAATAAAAATACAAACAATGCATCTTAAAAAAATGAGTCAAAGATATTGAATAGACATTTGAGAAGCAAAAAATCTAGCTACCAATAAATGCATGAGAAAATGTTCTCATTCATTAGCCATCAGATAGATGCAGATCAAAACAATGAGGTATTATCTCATCTCAGCAATAATATAAAAATTCAATAAGACAGAAAACAATAAATGTCAGTAGGGATGTGGACACATTGACACTTTCATACACTGTTGGCGAGATTGTAAAATGGTATAAATATTGTGAAAAATGGTTTGATGCTTCCTTAAAAAGTTAGAAATCAAACTACCATTTAATCCACCAATTTAAATAAGACCTGTGACATGAACAGATAAATATTATTTAAAATGGCAAAGAAATGGAAACAACCTAAGTATCCATCAACAGATGAATAGATGAACAAACAATGGTGGAAGACTATTCAACAGTAAAGAATAACAAAGAATTTGCAAAACAGATGCAAAGGAACAAACTGTGATTGTCATGCTGTAGAAAGGTAAGGAAAGGTGTACAAACAGAATGAAACTTTCTTTGACAATTACCAGAGATGGGAGCAGAGGGAATGAAGTGGGGGAAAAAGCAGATTTTTTTAAAAGCCTAATAATCTACTTCCAATCATCAATTACTAAAATTGCTATTGATCACAGTTCTACTCAGACAAAATTAGAGTTATCCTGAATTGAAATCAATCACATGATCATGAGTTCAAATGTCCAAACAGCTACATTCTATTTTAACTGAAAATTTATTAAGTAACTCTTTATGTTAAAAAATTATGTTAAATCATGAGCAAATATCTTAGATCTAGAAAATAAGACAGAAGGAAATAGATATTTTAATTAAATATCTATAAATTAAATATAATAAGAAAATTAGTTTCTACTACACAAGTTGAGAGTTGGCTAAGTATCATTTTCAAGGCTGGGAAGAAGCAGCTCGGTTGTGATGAACAAATATTCTTCTTACCCCATGTGGTCTGTAAAAGCCATCCACACAGGTTTCACAGTTGATCCCCATGGTATTCTGTTCACAGTTTATACAAACTCCTCCTCCTTGGAACTCTCCAGCAATATTCAAACTTTTCCTTTCATTGGCAATATTTTCATCATAGTAACAGTCTTTGGCTTTATTGTGACAATTACACTCTAGGAGGACATTTTAAAAAATTTTTATTTTATATTGGTTTACACACAAAATTCATATACATTGCGTTTCACACTTTCCTTAACTCACATTGTGTTTCATACTATCATTCCTGTACATTTTGTTTTATAAAATGAACCACCAGTGAACTATGCTCACCATTATCCCACCTTTTTTAAGATCCTCACTGGATCTTTCTATGTCCTCTACTCCTTCTCTCCATTCACCAGATAGTGCAATCCTTTGATCTACCCCCTGCCCATCCTCACCCCTCTGCTCCCACCCATTCTCCCCTTTGATCCTCTCCAGGTTTTACTAATTATCCCTTGTTTACAATAATGGTCTTATGCAGTTCTTATGAGACTGAGTTAGTTCACTCAGAATAATGTGTTCCAGTATTAGGAGAACATTTTAGCATCTCAATTAATATGCATATGATGTTGTACCTTCTCTAGGTCTATGATTTTGAGCAAAATTAAGTTAAAATTCCAGATTAATTTTAATAGGATATGGAAAATAATTTATATACATATGTATAAAATATTTGGAATAACTTTCAAAGTAATAAACACATTCGCATTCGATTGAGCAAGCATCTTCTGGGTTACATATTGAAGAAATATTGCATACTTGTAAATACATACACAAAGTTAATCATCATTTTGTAAGCAAAATATCCATGACAAGTAAAATATTCACTGAAAGGCAATTTTTTTTCAATGAATTATTTCAATAAAATAGTATTTTATAGAGATGCTTTTAGAACCAGCATTTTCTATCACTTTAATAGCAAACTTTGTAAATAGATCAAAAAGTAAATATGTAAGTGTTCAGTTATTAGGAAGCTCTGGTAGCCTAGTGATGAGGAACTGTGCTGCCAACTCAAAGGCATGTGGCTCACATTCACCAGCTGCTCCTGAGGAGAAAGATGGGCAGTCTCCTCTTGCAGTTTGCAATTGTTGTTTTGTGCTGTTGAGTGAGAATCAATGCATAGCTGACCCTCCAGTGATTTTCACAGGCAATAAATCACATGGGAGAGGACTGACCATCTTTCTCTTACAGAGCAGCTGGTGGATTCAGCTACTATTCTGAGTTGACAGTATAGCACCCACCACTAAGCCACCAGAGCTTCTTAACATTCAGTCCTCATCAACTCAAATCTTGAGGTAATCAGTAACTTGTGATTATTTATTTTTGTCTCTGAGAAAAAAATTATTGTCCAATTACGCAAGTTCAATGTAAAGTTAAATATGTTGAGAAAGGAAAATAACCCTGTTGTTGTTGTAGATTCTACAAATTCTAAATGTGTTTACCTTCACAAGTGTTACCAGAAGAAATGGTCCCAGGTCTCCAGGGCTGCTGATGATATCCAGGACAACACTTATTGCAACTTTCCCCACAAGTATTATGTTCACACTGACAATGTAGTTTCTAAACAGAAAGAAATAAAAAATTCTATCAAAACATTACTTGCAAATTTTTCTTTGATTTACTTAAAACATAACCTATCAGAATCAATTATATGGCACGACTTCACAATTGGATAAATGCAGCATCAAAATTAAGGGCATTTAAGTTTTAGAGAAAAAATATATGTACACAACCACGTACAACAGAAATAAGAAGTAAAGCAAAACTAAACTACAGATTACCTAATGGGTTAAATTTAAATATAACCATACTTTTTTTTTACTTGTTCAAATTATAAAGATATCATTAAAAAGGAAATAATTATAAACTGAAACCAGCTATATTATTTTATTTTTTTTATCATGGCTTCATACTTTCAACATCTCACACTGGCAAAAATAGCAATTGCCAGTAAATTCTCAAATAACAAAGGCTGGCAAGGTTGTAGAGAGAATGGAACTCTCACACATGGCTAATGACAATATGAAAATGATGCAATCACTATGGAGTGCAGTTTGGTGCTTCCTAAGGTGATTGGGAATAGAAATACAATATGATCTAGTAATCCTAAACTAGGTATATATCCCAAAGAAATAAGAGCCACAACCCAAAATGACATTCTCATATCCATGTTTATTTTAACACTACTGAGAAGCAGAATTATAAGCAATCCAAGTGTCCATCAGTGGATGAATGACTACAGAAATTGTTGTATATTCATACAATTCAGTACTATGCATCACTAAAGAAGACTTTATGAAATAAGTACTGCACAATGTGGATGAATCTAGAACAAATTATGCTGAGTGACATAAATCAGCCACAAAGTTCAATTATGGTATAAGATCATAAAAATAACTAAGTGAAAGATTTTTACACAGACAGGAATGAGAAAGAAGGAGAGGGGAACAAAATCAATCAATAGCTAAGTTGGGTGGAAGGAAAAGCAAAATATGAAATGAAAAAGAAATTAAAAAGACAGTAATGTGAACACTACCATCAAGTTCATTTTTGAAGCCTTAGTAAAATTCAGAGGAGCCCATATAGCTTAATGCCTTGACATAATTGACTGCTAACTAAAAGATTAGTGGTCCAAATCTATCAGCTGTTACATGAGCAAATGAGGGGCCATCTTTTCCTATAAAGGTCAACAACCTTGAAATTTCAATAGAGGGTCATTATGAATTGCTCACACTCTTGGAAGTGGATTTGGTTTGGTTTTTAGTTGTTGTTATGTACCATTGAGTCAGAATCATAGCTGACCCTCCAGCGGTTTTTCAGAGCCTGCAAATAACACCAGCTCAGATTCCCCCATCCTTTTTCCTCGGAGCAGCTGACTGATTTGAACCATGTTCCTTTGGACTGGAGTGTATGCAACCCATTACCAATAAGCCATCACAGTGCTCTAGGTTGTGGTAAAACATAAAACACTAAAACTTACCTGTGTGGTTTCATCCCATGGACAGCTACTAGCGTGGCCATAGCAGATACACATCCCACCAATGGAAATGTCTTTTATTGAGTAGTAATACTAAGGAAAAAAGAAAATTAAAAACCAAGAAAAAAGTAAAAGCTCTCAATAAAAAGAAAATGATGACATTTCAAGAAATATCTCAGGTGGCTTAAGAATTCATATTGGACAGTTAAAATAAAATTGTTTCTTCTTATTGTTATGTACCATTAAGTCACCTATGATTTATCATGATCCCATGTACAATAGTTCTGAACCCTGCCCTACCCTAAGCCAATTTCACTGACTCCGGCATACCTACTCCCATTATCCCAATTAGAGTGTCAATTCATTTCATCTAAGGTCTTCCTCTCCTGCATTATCCCTCCACCCTTCCAAGCATTATGTCTTTCTCCAAGGACCATTCCTTCCTGGTCACATGCCCAAAGAACGTGAGACAGAGCTTCAAAGTCCTTGCCTCCAAGGAGAAACTTGGTTTCACCCTTAGACATATATTTTAAATTCTACTTAATGCACAAAAACTTATCTATGCTTGATTAAAATAATACTCAAATTACGTAAAAAACTAAAACCAAAGAATTTTCCTAACATGACTGCATCTTTCACCAAAGTAGTCATCTTCAAAATACATGCTGTTGGAAATATTTTTAATTATAAAAATGAATACAGCAATATACTAAAAATGATAATATATCATTACCAAGTGGGATTTTATCCCAGGGAAACAATATTAGCTAATCATAAAATAAATAAATGAATGTTATCCACCATTTTAGCAAATTTAAGAAGAAAAAAAAGTCATTATATCAATAGATGTAGAAAACACGTTTTACAGACTGCAATATGATTCACTAACAAACTCAGCAAAAATCAGTAGATGAGAACTGTCTTGGCCTAATAAAGAAATCAATGAAAAGTCTTCAGCAAATAGTGCTGTCCTCTCAAGATCTACTGACTTCACTTCTAGTCAACATTGTTTGGAAGTTAACAGTGCAGTAGTAAAAAGAGAAATCAAAGATATAAAGCCTCATAAAAGTGAAGTGTTATTTCTCATAGACACATAATTGTTTACATTGAAAATTCTAGGGTTCTTGTAAAATGTTAGCAATGAACAATGGAGAGAAAAATTTAAAAGCAACCTATTAAAATTATTATGGACAAATATAAACTATTTAAGGACAAGCCAAACAAAAAATACATTAGAATTTTACAAATAAACACAAAAGCATCAGTAAGAAGAATTTATTAAAGAAAAGACTTAGAAAAGTGGAAAGAAAAGCATGCTCATGGATTGAATTGTTCAATATTGTATTTTTAAATAAAATTTTTTATTTTAATTATCATTTTAACAAAAGTTTACAGAAAAGTTAGATTTTCATTCATTCATTATTATACATTTCACCCCCTCTCCATTCCATCCCCTTCTCCAAGCTGACTTTTTTCACTAGTTTATTGACAAAATTCTAATACAAATTCGAATAAATTTTTTCAATTTCCCTCATCTCCCCACCTATCATATCAAATTGTACAGTCCAATGATTAATCCCCTCTTCCCCCCTGTACATCCACATCTCTCTGTTTCCAGCCTCTCCCACCAATCCTGAATCCTTTCCTTGCAAGTTAGTAGTGTCATTGGAATTCAAGTGAAGACTCTAGATAGAGTTTGGCTTTTGTTTATTTTGTTTTAAAATACAAGTTGGCAAACTAATTCTAGCATTTATAACTAAATCTAAGGAACCAAATATAGCCAAAAAACCCTTGTAAAAGAACCACTTTCGATTCCAAAAGTGCCTGATCCCAAGAGTTACTACAGAATCGTAATAATGAAGAAAGTTGGGATTAATGTAAGGATAGATGAAAGAGTGAAGAATCTAGAAACAGATTCACAATAATAAGGACCAATACTTTTAACATGCGATTTGAATGTACCACAGCAATTAAATGAGCAAAAGAAAGTATTTTCAATAAAACGGTTCTAGTACAAGTTTGTGTACAAATTGGGGAGGAAGTAAAACCTTGCACCTATTCCACAAAACGCAAAAATTGATTTGATATATGTCATAGATATAAAAGCTACTAGAAGAAAAATGTAAGAGACTATCTTTATGAACTTGGAATAGAAAATATTTTTCAGGAAGGATACATGAAATTGTTGTGTTGTTGTTTGGTGCCATCGAGTCGTAGACGACTCATAACGACCCTATGAACAAAAGGCCTGAATGTTGTTCATAGGGTTTCTGGAGGCAAGGTATTTCAGAAGTGGATGCCACTCCTGCTTCCAGGCTAGTTTTAGTCGGGAAGCTGAAGCAAACACTGTCCACCATGGGCGGCCATTACCACATTTGGCAGATCAGTGTCACAGTGGTCAGCATCACAGCAACCACAAGTTACCTCTGTACGGCAGTGCACAGACCAGTGCTATACCACCTAGAAGAATGTTTGACAAGAAAACAACTGGGGCTTGAAGCCCCTTCCTGCCTTAAACTCTAGGCCAAGCCTGGAGGGCCTCACTCCTGGGGGGCAGAGCAGTCCTGAACTTCAAAAACAAGCCCCAAAAAGCACTCAACTCCAAAAGCTTGCCATAATACCTGCACACGCACGTGGACCACACTAAGCTCTGGCACCAAGAAGTCACAGAATACATGAAACAGTGAAACAAAAAATAATCAACTACTTTTTCATAAAATTAAAACCTCTGATCCTCAAAAGTCATGGTTGT